GAACATAGAACGACTTAGAGCTTGAATCGTACAACAGAGCTATACGAATGACTAAGGAAAAAGTGGAGGATTTATGTTGCGCTAGACAAACAACCTCTTCAAAATCCTATGACTTGTTTAATTTCTAGGAAATGAATGATTTTGCTGGGGAAGACATGTTCTGCTGTTGAAGATGGTCGTGCTGCCCACCGTGCTAGCTTCAAGCTCCCCGACGTGACGAGTTTAAGTTTTCTAGGGTGTCCAGTTATGGTGTCAAATCAAACGGCCCTATGGTTATAGTCCTCTAAACATACTATATAAAAAGAAAACATGCTTAAAGCTATATAATATAAAATGTGTAATGCAGGAACAAACAGTAGAATGCATGTGAAACAGTAACAGGTAGAAACATGAACATTATAACATGTTATACAGGAAGAACAGTAACAAGTGGAAACATGAATAATATAACATGTTGTACGGTACGGTAGCAAGTAGGAACAGAAATAGTATAACATGCTGTACAGGAAGAGCAGAATAATATGACATGCAATACAATGCAGTAGCAGGTAGGAACAGAAAAATAAAGTACTGAAAAATGTAAAACAAACTTATACGCCCGTAAGATCCGATGTTCCTTAAGTATAGCAAGCCTAAATGCATCTCAAAAGCAAAGTCTGGAAGAAAACGTCATCCAAGAAATCCGAAGAAGAGTGTAACAACGACTCATGACAGAAAACTCGAGAGAATCAACGAAAAAGTCTCAAGTAAAAGAAAATCCTCAAAAAAATCTTGGGGAAATCCCGAAAGAAAGGAAAAGTAACACGAGTGCCCTGTCCCAAAGCTTCAAATGCATCTCAAAACAAAGTCTGGAAGAAAACGTCATCCAAGAAATTCGAAAAAGAGTGTAACAACTACTCATGACAGAAAACTCGAGAGAATCAACGAAAAAGACTCAAGTAAAAGAAAATCCTCAAAAATCCTGGGGAAATCCCGAAAGAAAGGAAAAGTAACACGAGTGTCCTGTCCC